AGTTTGATCATGCCTGAGCAACATTACTAGTTTTTAGATCACTGTCAACTATCACATAGACCAGGGGTGGCGAACCTTTATACACCAACGTGCCATTTTCTCTAAAAAATTGCTTAATGAGGTCATAGACGTGCCGTCAAATAATTTGAATCGTGATTATTGGGGAAATAATAATACTAAACACTATCAACTCAAAACTCTTTATTTACATTGAAAAAAGAAAAAAAAAACATTTTGCAATATCTCAGTTATACGCGTAATTCAACTTTCAAGTAACATCAGTGTGACTTCTGTTGTTGCAGATTAGATGACAAATAACTTATATTAGGTTGTAAGATGTTAGTTTAAGCAGGGCTGTTAATTTTTTTTTGTTAGTTATTTATTGTTAACTTGTTTTTTATGGCTATTAAATCTTTTTTTATCATAAATTTTTAATTTTTTTTATTAATAATTAATTATTATTTTGTTTATTTTTTGTGAATTTTAATTTAATTGTTATATATGCTTCATAGTGTAACAACAATTGTGATCGGTGGAGTGTCCAAAATATTGTGTCTCGTGCCATAAATGGCACGCGTGCCTTTGGTTCGCCATCCCTGACATAGACTGCTAGATGAAAAATGATCGATACGGCCGTCTCTTCGACGACACGGGAAAAATAAGGGTTATAAGCGTTTTCCGGAATGGCTTAGACCTGTCAAACGCAAGTATTTTTGTTCGATTGCTGTATTTTAACTTTCACTGAAGGAAAAAAAACTTTTTTATTTACATTAAAAGAAAGTTAGTTTTTTTTTCTTTTAAAACCATTTGAAATTTGTGATAGCGCAACTTCTTGTTCCGAAACCGAATTATTTATTTCTTCGCTTCTCATTGGGGCTGTCACAATGGTATTTTTGTTTTGATTTTGTCTCTGGGTTCACTCCGTGTAACTTGGTTTATTGATTTCTTGTGACAAACTTAAAATTTTAAATTAATTTTCCTACTCCTTGACTTAGCTAGAAAACTGAGACAATTAAAATATAAATGATCCCTTTTCAATAAATTTTAATCCATCACCTGTTGGTCAAAAAAAAAAACTAATTGAAAATAAGGGGTCCAAAATTCGGAGCGCTCTCCTGACCAAACTATTAGCACCAATTTCCCAAATTGCGGCTACCCCCACATATTGGTATTCAGAAATCCTAATTCGTCAAAAAAGAAAAGGTATGCTTATTGAGAGAAAGTACGTTTTTTGAGTTTGATTTCCTAAAGTGTCTTCTGCACTTATTATTTAGCATATTTGAGGTCGCCCCCTCGAGCCACTAAAATTGAGTTCTAGAACGTGAAGATCTGATCATCAGGTCAAAAGTTATTCAGAGTGGCCCGTTTTTTTCTGCACTATGTACAGATATCGGATTAAAGTGTTAAGAAATTAACGTTGTTGGTAACAAAAAACGTGGCTGGCTGATACCTTCTGGTAAAATGCTTCTCTCTCCTGCCTTAATTATGAAACATCATTAAAACTAAAAATTATTTAATTATTCTTAAAAAAAATCATATATTAAGATGCATAGTTGTAATAAAAATGTAGTTTTCAGTCTGTTTGTTTCTATGAATTGTCTACATTCACCTTTTCATTTCTGCCCAACTTTTCAGTTTGTTTTGGCTTTTCGTTACCAACGTGAGAAATTAATTCAGAACACGCATCAGAACACGTATGAAACACTAGGGAATGGTACACGTTCAGAACACTAATTCAGAACACGTATGACACACTAGGGTTGGTTGGTTAAGGTTTAATGGCACAAGAGCCAGAATGACACACTAGGGAGTGGTACATGTTCAGAACACTAATTCAGAACACATTAATTCAGAACACTTATGCTCAAACGTTCATATTTGTTACAGTCTTTTTGTTTCTATCAATTGTCTGCATTCACCTTTTCAGTTTGTTTCGGCTTTTCGTTACCCACGCAAGAAAAGAATATTAATTCAGAAATTTGTAAACACGTATGCTTAAACGTTCATATTTTAACTGCTCTCTCACGTAATAATATTTCATTTTTCAGTTCTTTGTTGCCGACGAGAAAAAAAATCATGTGTTTTTTAACAATCCACATGAGCATTATTTTTTTAAAAATTAGTTTATTTTGTATAATTTAGATTAGTGTTTCTATCGAATGATTTTTTGCAGGTGGATGACATGATTGAGTGTTTAATCAATTACATAAAAAATGATCAAATTGGAACAATTGCTCATGCACACCTTGCTCATGCTGACCAAACTGATATTTTCTCCAAAATTTGCATCGATATAGCTAAAAAAAATTCATATGCTGTCGATTTTGCCAAGACTGGTGTGAGTAAAAATTTAGATCAAGAAGAACGTCCGAGCGTTTTTCCTGATTTTATGGAGAAGCACCACAAAGAGACATACAAATCAAAGAAGGCACTCGGAAAAATGTTTCGCGTGGTTAAAGACTTCGAGTCCGAGAATGAATATGCTAGCATTACGTACCGCGATGTACAGGTAAGCATTTGTACACCAGTTTTGTTTTTAAAAAAAATAGGATTCTCGCTCAATAACTCAATTCTTATACATCATTTATCTTTTATTTTCACAGAAGTCAAAATTTTCCACAAAAACAAAAAACATTTTGTAAATCATATAACGAAATTAGCGATTACGTAGATTTGACAAGTAATCATCTGTATTTGAAAAAAAATTAACTAAGGTAAACAGAAAGTATGATATTATCAAGGTAGTTTCATTTTATTGAAGATGTTGTTTAAGTTTATTCCCGAGTGATATATGCAAACAATTATGCATTAAAAATCATAAATGTCTTTAAGCAAGAATTATATATGATAAATAAAACTCTTTTATTTTTGCAAATATGGAGCTCTATCAAAACGAAAATTAATCTTCATTTTTAATATACTTTTGAATTACATACATATATGAATAGCAGATTTTTAAAATGGCCCTGAGGTCAGGGCTTGCAGCCCCATAGAACACCGTCCACCAAGAAATCAAAAATGCAAGTGGCATGTATTCGTAAGAATAGTTTTTACCAAGAGAAGTTAAGGAATTAATTGTATAGGCTATTATTTGCCAAGGTTCTTTATCTTAGTAGGCGTACGCATTCAAATATGTTGTCGGAAAAAAAAGGTTGAGAAATAATAATGAATCCAAAACATAAGCAACCATTAAACTGTTTTCGAATTCTGTGCTAATGTATTAGGCAGAGAATCTCTAAAAATAGATTTTTCTGCACTGAAGTTAAGGTTATCGAATTAAAAAATTGCAGAATTATATTAATAATTTTTATTTACTGAGAAGAGGATTAAATAAGATCATAATTTATTAGTTTTAAAATATTAGGAAATATATTTCAACATGACAGTAAATTTATCAATATGAACGATGACATTTTGTTATCAAGTAGGCAACTTTTTCATATCTCCAGAATTAAATTTGTTATATTTTTAAAATTTTCAATATAAATGTAAATTTAGATATTATATCTGGTAACGTCTTATTTCTCGTCTTTCGACATTAATCCAAATTCAGGAATATAAAATAATGATCTCGAGAGAGAGATTAAAATTGTCTACAACATAAGTTAGATAGTCAATATTTAAAGTTAAATATTACTTCGAAATAATCAATAAAGCTATTAATATTTTGTCTTTAATTTGTGTTTGCGGATTTGCGTGGTTCGTATTACGAGCTCGTAGAAATAATGTTGATCGGATTTTTGGTAAATGACAACAAAAAGAATAAATTGCGGATTAATAATTCATATGTTTATTATATACTGCGCATTGGTCTATCTCGGTTGAGGCAATCTCCTCGCGTAACACAGTGCTATTGATGGTTCACATGCCTTACATTCCCTTTTTGTAGCTATCTCGCTCTCCAGCCGCATCAAAGTGATGCAATAGCTCATTTTGCATAAAACTATCAGGTGGTCATAATAGTTTAGACAATCAGTGTATATGCTTTAAAAGTTGCAATTTTACAGTTAAAAAAATAAAAGTTCAACTGCGCTTCAAATTATATCATTTCTTGCCCTTTTCCAAAAACTTACCTTATTATCGCGTGAGCTGCAAATCATGGGCACTTAGTAGGTAATTGTACGTAATGGGTTAGTTGTGCTTTTTTTTAAAACTCATCCCATAATTTTTTTTAACGATTTTGCTTTTCTTTTCAATGAAAATGACGTTAAGCAAAAAGAAATTCTTATGGATTTAGGAATTATTTACCACATTTATAAGTTATTGTGAATTCATTAGTAAATAAATCTCAATCAGTGTTGTACTTCCTGTTAATTTATTCATTATTTCGTTTAATAGGTAGACCAAGATTTAATATTTCCCGGATGGGAAACCTACAGAGAAGATGCTGTCAAGTCAAAGAACAAGTTCAACACGCTACTTCAAACTGTTCTAAGAAACTACGGAATACAACACGAAGCAGAAGTGTTTTCTGGTGCCTTCACAAACCTGCACTGCCGATTCAAGGAGAGAAACGACCAAGCAGATATTGAAAAAATTGTTGTGCGATGCATCAAGAGACTAGCTAAAAGTATGCGAGAGGAATTTTTAGAAGAATTCAAGGAGTGTAGTAACATCAACGAAGCTTACCTAGGTATGTTACGCAAAGCTTCAGCTTGGTATGTTGTAACATATCGTGATGGTGATGGAAAATTCCTGAGCTTTCCATGGACGGTATCCGATTACTTGGCAAACATTAAAGTTAAAAAGGTGCCTATCCAAGAATCGCTGTTTTCTCCAATTGTTGCGAAAATGGACCAGCAAATTAAATCCGTGGACTCTAAACGATGGTTACCTAGTTTCTTGGAATCGAATCAATGGAATTATTATAATTATCTTTGTGGTGATCCGAACATTGTCGAGTGCGCTTTACGCGTGTTGTTATTATGGGCTGAGGACGAAGAAATAATTGAAATACCTGGTCGAAGAGTTGAAGGACTTATGTTCAAGAGTAGTTTTATAAACCTTTTCCTTCATGTTGCTGAAGTTTCGCAATATATAATTAAAAAAGGTAAACGATGTGACGTACCAAAAGGAAAACTGTATTCCCCCGCTTCTTTGTGCATTGAATTTTGGAGATTTTGTGTCAAGTTAAGATTTTATAATCAGTATGAGGTACTTGAAATCGTACCTTTCAAAGTATATAAATATAAAACTCTTTCCAAGCGAGCTGTTGTGACCTATCACAGATTTGCCGTTTTGGGGGAATTCGAAAATTTGTACCTTGAGTCTGGCATGGCGCATGAAAAAATGGACATGAAACCATTATATATAAACAACAAGGTATTTGCGCGATCTCCAATCGACGAAAAATCACTGAAATTGGCTGAGGAAACTTTGATGAAGTATTCTTCCGCTGATAACGTGGAATTGAGGGAAATTTTACAGACGAAGAAAGTTCTTGTGAGTGCAAGAGGCAGCGAACAATCGTTAAAAACATTAAAGACCATTCTGAACGAAAAACAAGATTTCATAGCTCAGTTATTTTCTACTGGTGTAATGCCTGAATCATAATTTAATACAACATTCACCAGATCTCGGATACATATATTACTCTTTAGGACTTAATGAACTTGTTTATTTTGTAAGAAACTGGCCACTAGATGGCACACTAACTTTCTTTTAGGTTTCTGTTTGTTTTCCAAAGAGTAGTGGTGTCGAGATTATTAAAAATGATGATGGTGTTTTTCGATAAATGTCTATGTTTATATTTGTGTGTGATATGTCAATGTTGTGAAGTGCATCGATAACTTGTGAATAAATCATTTCAGATGCAGGCGACTCGTCTTTTGTGAGAAAGTATATAATTCTTTACAATTTTGTACATATCTAAATGTTCATGTGCAGCCATGTCGCTCACCTAAAAGCATGATAATATTTCTTCATATTTACATGTTTTTAATACTTTTTCTTTTCTTTTACTTAAATGCTACTGTCTTCCATTCTTTATTTTGTACGAAACAATTTTTTTTATTAAAAGAAACCTATTGTAACGAGCCCTCATCCCCTTCATCTCAGAAAACAATCCCTAGATGGCGCCGCTGGCGCAACAGAAGTAATAACTTTTTATTATTTTCAAAAACTTAAAAACAGTAGAAGTAGAAGTAATGTAACGAGAGACGCGCCATGCAGCGCTAATACCTAACTAAATGTTTTCATCACTTTATAATCATCATTTACCATTTCNCAGGTTATGCACAGTACCATTAAAATATTACCGAACGATATTTTGGACATCTCCCTTGGCAACAAAAATAAGCAAATCTCAACTTTCTTTCGTGCTTATATATAAGAAAGTCGGAGAACTCCCTTTTTGGTATAATTTTGATTTTAACTGTAGTAATCCAATTTTAAAATTCAATTCAAATGAAAGGTGTATTCTGGCATTAACCCATTCGCGTCCACTGTCACAATTGCATGCCAGCCGAAAACGCTCTAATTTCCTGGTGGTGTACTAGTTGAATATAGAGAGGAAAAGTGGCAACATTAGCATGAGTAAAACGAAACTGAATGAGTTTATAACATTGTAAGTTTACGAAATGAGCTTGTGATATTATGATAATATTTTTTACTATTAATTGTTTTCTTTTTATAAGGTTTTTTGTTTTCATTAGACTAAGAAAATATGAATTGTGCATGCTTTGAAATATTCTATAATTTATTATACATACAATTTTTTCAATTAGAAACTGTCATATTTATCATGTATAATTCATAGAATAAAACCATTTTTTCATAATAAATATGTCTGATATATATTTTAATGCGTTTCATTATTTGTTTTAAATATTTTTTTAAAAATGACAACTTTTAAAAACTAACAACTTTTCATAAACTAATTACCAGAAAGAAATCAAATTTTATCGCACAAAAAAATTAACGTTTACCTATTGGTCTCTTAAAAATTAACTTAATTTTCAGTAAAGTTCATTAGTTTTCAATTAAATTTGTAACTTCCCAAAATATTAAATGCAATTTAAACACATTTATTTCAATTAAAGATATATTTTAATAACCAGTTGAATTTTACATCGTAGATAAAATAACAGGACTCGCACCATATGCAATATTAAATATTTCGGATATAGAAATTCCGCATTTTTTTTATTTAGCTGACACGGCTTGACTAATTTTTATAATAATCAATTTAAAAAATTGATTAATAACACGGAGCAAAAATATTTTGACATCAAAATTTTTTTTAAATATTTTATTTCTTTTGAATTCAGAATGTTTTTCCAACAAAATTTATATTGTTTCCCCTGAGAAAAACTTTTTAAGGGCTTTCCCCTGCTCTAATAATTCTCTACAAGTAACTTTTAATAATAATTACTTAACTAAAGTAACAGAAGTGTGCTGTGTTTACAAAAGAAAAAAAAGTTCTCGTATAAAATAAAACTCTCCATAATTTTTCTTTAAAATTGTAAATGTAATATATTTTTTATTCTAGTATTTTGGACGATGTATTCCCGAATTTTTTGGCTGAAAAATGTACAAATTATTTCTTTTTTCGAATTTTGTAAATCATCATTACTAATTTTGTAAATCATCATTACGAATTTTGTAAATCATCATTACATTAAACGAAAATAATTAAAAATCGTTACAATTTTGACTATTAACTCCCGAAAAAAAAAAAGATAAACGACGAAATCACGCGAATCGGACATAAAAAAGAGGTTATAAAAATGCGTTTTCGTTTCGAGATTCGGTTGTTGTAATAAATAATATCGTATTAAAAATATCGGATTTTAAAAACTATGTGGAATTCATAAGCAATGACTACCAAAGTATGGAAGGAAAAGGAAAAAAATGATAGAATAATTGCGTCAAAAAGTAAATACTCATGCGCGATTCGAATTTCCCATATTTTCTGAAATATATCGAGGTATTTAAAAACCACGAGGAAGTAAATATTTATAACCGCCGAAAATATAATCGAAACACCATATGGATTTACGATACGATTAGCGTAAATTGAGTTCGTCAGAAAGTGATGCTTTCAATGAGAGATTTGATTTTCACTTGTCGAAATAATACCAACTGATAAATACCGGAATATTTTTTTTTTTAAAAAGAAAAAAAAGTGGAAATCAGTAGCACTGGCAAAAACTGCAGAAAAAACAACAACAATGAAATTGTCACATTGAAAGTGAGTAATCAAATGCGCGATTAATGTTCAACGTTCTAATTATGGTACTATAAGAAATAAAATATTTCTTTAAAATTCTGATCAATTTTACAAACCATTATTATATTAATTCATATTTTATTCGTTGATTTTTTTTGTGATCAACTGGTTATCATAATAAATTTTAATAAAAACTTCATTTTCAGCGTATCTCACGGCATTTTTACAATCCATACAATTTTCAATTTTTCTTGTTCTAAGTGTTAAAACGTTATGAAAAAAATAAGTGCGGAACAATATTATCAGAATTAATACTTGTTTTTCAAATAACAATAGTGTAAATAATCAAGTTTAATACAGGAAAGATAATCCCTATCTTAAGGAAAGGGAAATCATGAGTTATAATTGATCACCTTCTCCCCTTGAATGAAAAAAACATATCTAAAACAAAGATATTTATAAAATAAATCTAAACATCCAGGTTTAAAGCAATCAATTCTTGCAGTGAATTACGATTAATTACAGAGCGAAATGTTTATTAGCTTTATTGCTTGATAAAAAAAAAAAAAAGAAAGCATGATAGAGTTATCATGATCGAAAACAAAGCTATGTCTAAAAAAAAAATGAAGCAAACCGAAACTTTAAGTGACGTCATGCGCTGAAAGTCTGCGCAAACTCTTAGCACATTCTAAATGAAATATTTATCGTCTGATATGCAGATTCATAGAATGGGAAATTTCCCTATTATTTTAATTTCGATTTTATAAAATGTGATATTTATTCTAACTCCTATCAGATTGGAATAAAAGAGAACTTTTATATTGTTAAATGATAAAATATTCCTCACGTGGTTCCGTTATCAATGTATACATCATACTAGACAGTGGAAATAAAACTGACAGCCTAGTTCCATTTCTCCGCTAAAGTGAGAAGGACTTCTTAGTTGTTCTAAAGATACGTTGAGGTAATCATTTTAATATTACTCTTTCCTATAATATTATTTATGTATGTGTGTGTATTTTTTCCATATAAATTTTTTTTCAAATATATTATTTTTAATAATTTTTCTTCTTCTCTTTTCATTAATCTTTATTATATTTCTTCCATGTTTTCTTTATATTTTTAACTTATTTTATGAGTTCTATATACTTACAGGTTATGCACAGTACATAAAACTTATAATTTTCCTCGTTATTTTCTCTTTATTTGACATATATATTGTGTATGCTAGAAATCAACAACAATCAATGAAGCATTTTCTTTAAAAATAAAAATAAAGTGACAGTTTTAAATTGTATTTGCATGGGAAAATGTAATTACCGTCCCCTGACTTAAATGGCTCAAAAACACCTAAAGAAATTAATTAAAATTTTATTAAAAATGTTATATTTTTTTTCTAGAAAATGGATTAATAACAATTTTGGAGAAATATCAAGAATTTTTACTTTTCATTGCTAAAACATCTTTCTGTTACTTTTACTTTTATATTACCCTAAAGGAACACATTTTATTAATAAACACATTATGATTTAAAACCATTACTAAAAATTTTCTTGTTTTGCGCTTTTATGCACATGGACAATAATTACAACAACGAAAAAAAAAAGAACAGTGATGATGATAAATTGAAAAATTTTTCTTTTTTTTTAATTTCAAGCTAGAACATTTTTTTTCTAAACTTAAACATTGTACCTTTCTATAATAATAATATAAAAACATTATAGATATTGTTTGTTTTACATTTTAAAATATAACCATTTCGTCTACATTGGTTATGATTTAGAAATTGGCATTTTTTAAATAGAAAATAGTTGAATTTCTTACACTCAAATCAGAAATATCACAATTTCCTAAACTCAATAAAACCTTCCATCCTTTAATTCTGGATCTTTTTATCCCCTACATTTAAACAATTTATCTAAAATTAAGAAGTGCAAATTTCTATCACATGTAAAACTTGTTCTTTTTTTCCTTTTTTTTTGTTGAAGTTACCAAACTTTTATTCAAATTTCAATAAAAATTTAAACGGAAAAAAATCTTTCTTAACTATTTAGTTTTACTCTATAAAGTTAATATTCTAATTTTATAAATGTATTTTTTAATTAAACACTTGCAAGTATAGGGTCAGATGCACGGTGGGGTAAAGTGAGTACACAGGGTAAAGTGCATAAGTTATAAGACATCTATTTTCTCCTTTTAAATTGAGATAATTTGTTTCATATTTTTATTTCAGTTTTATTAACTGATCAAAAATGTAATGTTTCCAAATTATCTGCTAATGATCAATTTATACAATATGATAGTTTAAGCTGTTAAACTTTTTTTATTATCATTAAAAACTATATAGAAATTTAAGAATAAATTTCGAAATTTTATTTATTATTATTTGTGTTCTGAAGTGGGGTAAAGTGAATATACGGTTTGGTTTAGCTAAATGTTGTATGATAGGTTTATTTGTTTTACTTCTGTATTAGTTTTATTAAGTATCTAACACTCTGTATTTTTAATGAAATAGCTGAAAATATAACTTATTTGTTTGATTATAGCCCTACATAGTAATTTTCACTCTGAAAACGAAATTTTTTTAAAATTTTATTTTTTAAAGAAAAGAATGATAGAAGGAAATAACATAACATACATACAATTAAAACAATTACCAAAATAGCATGAATAGTACTTCTTGAGCTATTTCACGAAAATTTCTGTCTTTTATATGGCAGTTTTTTTAGATGGAAAACAAAAAAGTACCTTTAAAATTGCTTAATTGAATAAAAATGCGTGTCTGCCATTAAATAGTAAAAACATTTTAAATTACCATTATAGGCATTCATTTTTACACTCTCAATTATATTTCAAACAAACCAAAAACTATTTCAAATTGTATAGAGTTCAGCATCCGAAGTCAAACCTAATTTTGATAACCATGAACATATAAACTCCTTAATTTAATAATACGAAAAACTTATTTATTTAGTATTTTTCTTTATATTATGATACATAAATTGAAGAACACTTTTATTTCTAAAACAATCTTTACATATGTTTTCAGGAATTATATTCTAATTTTAGAACTATACCCATTTTTCCTTAGGGGTAAAGTAAGTATATTAAAACATGATCTTTGGAATACATTACTAAGAAAAAAAAGCAAGTAAACTAAGTTATGCTTCATATTTAATCAGGGTGGCCACCCACCTGGAATCATCAGAGAATTTTTATTCTAGAAAAAACTTGGAAAAATCAGGGAAATTTGCATAAAAACCTGGAAAAATCTGAGAATTTTAAAGAAAAACTGGAATTTTTTTCTTTGATGTTTTATCTTTACTAAGTTAAATTATTAACTAATTTTCTTAATTTAAATTACATTTTAACATCCTTTATATCCAGTTTTAGACGAAAATTTATTGCCTATCAGTTGAAATACCTTCAACTTAGTAATACTTCGCTTGCATCAAAGAATGTGGGTGGTGGAGGTGGAAGAATGGCTTAGGTGCTTCTATTTGTATGGTTTTGTTTTCTTCCAGTCAGTGGACTGAATCCATTTATCATTCAAGTTTGTTTCGATGCTTCGGAGATTTTTTTTTTGTTGGACAAAATGATTCCAAATGTTTTAGTATTTTTAACTAGATCGTTCATGTGATTAATCAGTTAATTCTCGGAATTCCGTGAATTTCAAGACCATTGTTTAGAGGATTTCCGCGAATTAATAATTAATATTCTGACAAAATGCTCTTGAAGTCCTCTAATCTAAAATTTGAACTTAGTTACTTACGCAAAATCTCGACAACGAGACATTTTTTCCACCCTTGCAAGCGTCCTCTTTTTTTTTTCTTTCCTAAATTCTCATTTATGCACGATACCGACACTTTTTACTCAAATCAGAGAAACGTGTAACTTAGAAAACATGAGACGGACAAAAAAATTCCTAACTTTGGCTCTAATTAATGAACTACAGAGGCGAACACAAAGGTAGAAAATTGATAATCTAAAAAGTAATTCCGAAAATTCAAGCACTTAAAAAATTGTGTGTTAAAAAAATGTTTTTTTTTTTATTTTTTAAAACATATATTTTTATGAGTAGCAATTTTATTACATATTTCGATGTGTAACAGAAGAATTATTTAATCAATGTTATTTATTTGCCCCCTTTTCTGACTACAATTATATAGAATTTATTTTTATATGATACTAGCAGAATACCCGTTCTTCGCACATGGTGTATAAAAAATAAGTAAAGAATCAATTAATCAGAGTAGAGAATCACTACGAAATCATACTCATAACTGAAAAGCATGAACCGACACAATTAAAGAGCTTGATGGAAGAACCAGGTAAGTGACATTTTTAGGGGAATTAATGAATCACTGCTTTTGCCTTCTTTTAAATCTTAACATAACTAATCACACAAATTTTAGTACGCCAGCATGATTTTTAAAAACAAGTGTCTTATTTTTTAGGTAATTGGTTTTATTTAAAATTAGGAACAGTAAAGCAAAGAATTATTCGTCCCGCCTTCGACTAAATTGGTAATAAAATAGTTCGGATACAACTTTTTTTTTCATTCTGTAAATGTCACGTACATGCGTCTTCCACCAAGTTTTTCAATTAATATAGCTATAATAATTTAATTTTTTTATTTAATAATATTTGCTGCCTTTTTCAGTGGCTTTTACGTTATTTAAGTAAGTAAAACTTGTTTTTTGTAGTTTATCCCATTAGAACAAAGATAAAATGTATTTAGCATCACTTGGCATGAAGCTATTACTCGTGGCCAAACCAAAACATTCAAAATTTACCACTATCAAGTAATTTTCTCCGGAACATATATGCCTTTCGAGGGGCCATAAAACACTTCTTTCTAAAGTATCGGTATTTAAACTGCTTAGTATTGTTTCTGTTTATATCATACCAAATATATCATTATAATATTTTATACCTATATTAGCATATCTGATACTTATTACGAAGCCCTTCAACATTTAAATTTTGTGAAAAATATATTTGTCAGTGATAGCCAACTAAAGAGGAAATTTTTTTCTTTTAAGAAATTTAATTCTTATTAAAATTTGGAGGATTTTGGACCCTGGTCATTTCTCTATCTAACCTTTAATTTACTATTAAAATATTTAGTAGTGGAAGAATAAATTTCTTTTAGTTCTCATTCATTAAAATATTAATAAACTATTTTTGCTACCATTGAAAAAATATTTTCTGAAACCACGGAAAACCCTTTATAGAATTCTTATCAAAATTGCACCAATTGGTATAATACCAGTAGTACATAATATCAATATCAATAGTGCACAATAATTAAGCGTAATCTATGAATGGCGATTTTTTACGGTTTTCCTAAACTATTTTTTTATTAACCTTTTCTTCTTTAACTTTGCTTTTTAGCATATAGCTTTTTTTATTTTATGTTAATTAATACATATTATCAATAAGCATTAATGTTAGTAATAATATGGCGATTTTTAAGGCTCCCGAAAATGATTAAATATCTTTTCTCTATTATTTTTGCTTTTTATTACATAAGTTTTTTTATATGTCAATTTAACATATTACCAACATTAATTAAGCATCATTGTCGTAATTGATAGTATAATGATTTCTTACTGTTCTTCTAGACAAATAAATATCTTAACTCCATTACTTTTTCTTTCTAGTACACAGCTTGTTTCTTTTATTTTAATATGCATATATTGCCTAAATTAATTTAGCTTCATTGGCGAGAGTAATATGGCGACTTTTTATGTTTCACTTAAACAAATAAATACAACATTCTGATTAATTCTGCCGTAAAATGCATAAATATTTTTCTTCTATTCAATTACTGTTGATTTTAAATAAATAGTTTCTCAGAAAAACGTTTTAAAAGAGATATAAATAAAAAAAAAATGCGTGCTATCAGACAACTATAAAACAATAAATTTGGTGACGTAGACCTCGCGTGTTACCGCATAATGTTGTTCATTGAATTTATCTGACGTAGCAAATATAAAATAATTCAATATTTAACTACGTGCAATAAACTATTTTTTTTATCAACTAGAGTTATAAGCTAGAAATGATCACTGATGTTATTCTTAAAATATGAGAAAAACTGAATTGTCTATCGTTAAAATTAAAACAATGACTATCGCTTAACCAATCAGCAAATTCCACTTCGTTTTTCGCTCATCCCATTCAAACGGTTTACGGTAAAATGTTCTAATACCAACTGTGACTTGTTACTTTCCTCGTGCTTTAAACTATCTGTATGATAAGTTTCATCGATTTCGGTTGGATGGTTTTGGAGTTTATAAATGACACCCTTACATAGACATTAATTTTTATATACATAGATTAAGACATGGAGATTTCGAATTGCACATTTCAATTATAACTTTTCGGTGCGCTCCATAACATGGTAAATTTGTTCCTCGAACTTTTTTTCTTCTCTTAATTGCAATGAAATTGATTTTTTCATGGATTTTAAAATTCCGATGTCATTGCGACATGCAATTTTTTTTTCTGAAATAACGGCAGGTACTGAACGTTTCGTGTTGAATGAACTGAAGTGTTGCATTTAACGTTACCCAGNAATTACATCTTTTGATAAGTTGCCCGTGTTGAATGAACTGAAGTGTTGCATTTAACGTTACCCAGTGGGCACCTGTGAACGGAGTCGAACAACATTATACCCACGCCACACTGCCACAAATACACGTTCATAGGGTGGGCCACATTCACATATCACACACAATAGAGGACATCATAAAGAGAGAAACATCTATGCCCATAGCGGGATTCAAAACCGCAGCTATTGGCTTCGCAGTAAGGCACACTAACCGCTTGGTCACCTGGCCGGCGACACGCAAAATTTGAATCGGGCATTTGAGTAATCACTTTTTGATGCTCTCGATTTGCGTCGATACCATCGTAAATCCATGTCTTTTGATCGTTTTATTGGCCATTATTTTTTATATTCTTATATTTTTTATGCATTATTATTACACATAAAATTTCACTTCAGGCATTTCTTAGACATTTTTTGACGCAACGTTACCGCTGTTTTTTTCGATCGACTTTTTCATAGTTAATTTTTACTGATATTTTAATATGATGTTATTAAGAAATGAGAAATGCGAATCACACATTTGAGTTATTGCATTTTTGACGCTGCACTAAATCTATTGATATTTTTTTTTTTTTGTTGCCAGTTATTGGTGTCTCTTTTCACGCGATTTTTTGAAATTCACATATTATTATGATCCTTAAAAATCAAATAGTACGCGTGATTTAACTATTTGACGCGATTGGAATTTTTCGGCAGTTATCAGTACCGATTTTCGCTTATTTTTAAAAAAATCTCGATACAAATTATAGTGTATCTACCACTACAAAAATACAAATCCAATTCCCTAGTATATAAGGCATGCTAACCTGATTCAATCTTGAGGTACCTTTTGATAGATGAAGGTTAGCATTGTCCCCACATTGGTGGCCTTCGAACGTTATGTGAACACGCCTACCTTGAGAGAAACTCTTACTTCGATTTGAACACTCGTATTTCGATGAATTGTCTACATTGAACAGTTGACTTGCTACATGTGACTGCGACATTATCAACCTCCTCACGCTGTTGCTTCTCTGTCTCGATCGCACACAACGTATTCACTCGACTGCTTAAAGGCAACACAGGAGCGCCTATGACCGTGAATTTAATGCAGCTTTCACGACCAGCACTCAAAAAGTACGATGATCTTAATGCAGCTATCCCGGCTCCTCACAGAACAGCAATGCATCAACTAGTTTTATCCGCTCATCGAATTCTATCACAGATATAATTCTGGTGGGGGAGTACTACAAAACCATTACGAAAATACAATTCCAATTTCTTAGTATATAAGACATGTTAACTCAATTCTATGTTGGGGTATCTTTTCATAGATGACGGTTGACTTCGTCGATATCTACTATTATTAGTCCTTTTTTGACGTGCCCAATTTGTGTGGTGTTCGTGAGAAATATTTTTTTTTTTATAAATGAACTTTTTCTAGCTATTGTCGTGGATTTCACGATTTTTAAACAGGATTCACAGTTTTTTTCTCCTTTGATGCATTGGCTTTCTCAAAGAGCAAGAGAGGAATTTGTAATTTTTAAATACGTATATTTTTTATGTGCTGATAAGAAGAAAAAAAAATATTAAATAATTTTTTCTTCCTCAAATTTTATAAATGTTAATTTTGTGCATAAAAATGAGTCTTATCTATCTTCTATGCACAAAAAAAAGAGAAATGAAGTGCTAACAAGCATTGCAAGAAAGAAGTTAAGATATTTTCTTCTTCCATCAATCACGTGTCTGCTTTATAAAATTCTACAAAAATTAATGGATTATAATTTAATAACAATAGATCTTATTTTGCACTCTTTTTCTAAAACCTTTTGTACTCTCATCCACTAAAATTGATTATTTTCTTTCAGCGAAGCCTACCAATCACACATTTTCTTACAATCGCTAACATGTTAGTCAACAAATCCTTACAATTATTACAGTGATGCTAATTTTCTTGATTTCATTTTAGCCTTTTATAACATATTTAAATTAAGATAAATGTTCTTTTAAGAAGTTCCATTAGCATTTAATTTTACCGTTTGTTGGTAAATACTTGATTTTTGATTCAAAATTCGAATTATGTAGTAGTCACAATGTCAATAGTTTATTTGTATTCCTGAGATGATGTTTCCAAAACTGTTTTTCCTTTTACCCTAAAAAGCTGGCGAAAACTAAGGAATGTATGAGAAACATGTTAAATGATACATAAATATAGAATATAAAACGATTTTATTCATGGGAGTTTATCAGAAAGGAGGAAAACGAAACTTTTGTTTTGTTATTTTTTTTGTTCTGTACTTTACAGGTACAGGTTTCCAATTCTGAAAACAAAAACTATTAACTAATCTAAACTAATAAAAAACATGTTGTTAAATTAGAATTCTTTAAATATTTTGATTTCGAATAAGAAAAAAGAATAAAATTTAAAGAATTTTATCTATATAGAGTATGCAGCAAGAAATTAAAAATTTCGCTCTTACAACATTAATTTTTGAATACTGAATATCTCTTAAAATAATAATGCCAATTCAAAACAATTATTTAAGTATTTGAATTTCGATATTAGTTTAAAGAAAATATGTTCAATGAATTTTATAAAGAGCACTGTTTAGATAAAATACGGAATAAAATTGCTTTATAATGGAATGTAAATAAATATAAAAAAACTATTGATGTATAATCGTTTGGAATTATTTCCATTGGCTTAATGAAAATACATAAAACAATACTTATACAAGGTGTTTTTGGTTACCCTGTATTCGATTACTAGTAATTGATTTCTTGTATGTAAGCAGTTACAGATGTTATCGAACTCTTCAAAGGCTTCAGAAAATAATATAGCATTGAAGGACTGTTGCAATTAGGGTCACTCGAAAAATTATGCTTTAAAAACGACAGTTAATTTGAAATTCCTCTAAATCTATAAGTGGCCTTTTCCATTTTTTATTTTTGTAGATTAAAAAGCAGTGTTGTAGACAAGGTGTTATACCAACTGTGCTCTCTGTTTTCTGTAAATAATAACAAATACACATGTGTCTAATTTAAAGAAGATTCTTGCGAAAAACTTAAAGAAAAAGATTCTTAAAGAAAAACTTGCTATTTATTTCCTTTTTCGCATTTTGTAAATCAATATAGTATTGAAAAAAAAATATGAAAAATATCCATTCAGAAATTATGTGGAAATCAATAGCTATAACTGCCAAAAAAATCAAAAAATCTAACCCGAAAAAATCGATAGAATAATTGCGTTACTAATTAAATATTCAATACGAATTTTCCATGTTGTAAAAAATATATTGGGATGTTTGAAAACTACTTGGAAATTAATATCAATAACTGCCGAAAATGCAATCGAAGCACGACATGAATTTCGATATTATCGGCCTAAATTAAGCGTGTCAAAAAGTGTTTTATTTAAATGCGCGATTCAAATCTTATGTGTAGAAATAATATCAACAAATGCTAGCTATAAAAACGATGAAATCGTCCTATTAAAAGCAAATAATTAAATGAGTGATTTGAGATTAGCATTTAATAAAATTGTAATAAAAGGGTTTAAATTCGTTTTTCTTCTTCTTTCCCCCCCCCCCCTTCTAAATGTGAAAATTTAAAGCAAAAACCGTCGGAATATCGATTGAAGCACTGCAAGGATTAACGATGATATCGGCACAAACCAAGTACGTCTAAGAATGATTTCTCGAATCTGCGATTTGAGTTTCCCTTGCTATGATAATATCGGTGTGTTTTAAAAAATCGCTAGAATATCAATAATGATAGAGTAATTAAAGACATCGAGATTTCAAAAAACCAAGTAGAAATTATCTTAGAAACAATAATCAAATCCTTAACAAAAGTTATCAAAACACCAGTTATTCCAGTTCGGATGGACGAAACTTGTTTTTTCCACTGTGGAAGAAGCTGATGCCCTGGTAGTCACATAAATATCCGAATCAATAAACATTTTATAGGGACAGATACACCTTTTTCTGTAGAGCTTATTCTAATGAAATTTAAGGATCATAAAATTTTCTAATCGCAAGAATAAAACTATTTCAAAACAATTTTAAACAACATGGTACACAATTTAATAATTTAAAATAAGGAAAGTTTTTCTATTTTAATTATATATTTATGTTAATTTTAGGTGAAATAAAGAGAAATGGAAGTCATTAATTTTAGAACCGTTATTGTGCCCGAAGAGAAATATGCCACAGATGATGACATAACGAAGAAATTTAAGACATATCTCGAACAGCTGACATTTCATTTTGAAGAATGTGGTCTGATGGACGTCAGTCTCAGCTTTTTGAAAGTGAAAAAATCTGAAGAAGAAGATACCCCAGAAATAGAAGAACTTATCATTCAAGTTTCAGCCAAGAGTTCGCTAGGAAACCAAGATTGGGTGCACTACTGTCGACAGTTGCGCAGTGAATGGAAGAACTTATTTTATCCAAACCCCGCCCCAATTTTGGCTTTTTATGAAAACAAATCTTTCAGCTCCTCACGCAAGCATTCTCACGTATACACTGCATACAAGACTATTAGTTTTGGAATTTTACCACATGATGGAGCCTTTCATCAGTACTCCTCACTGGAGTCAGATCAGAGTTTAGACTCTCACCACGTGAATTTTTATCACGATAGTCGGTCTGTTACTATAAAATACGAAGCTTGGGAATTAGTTTTCCCTTACAGTAATATTAAAAATGTATTTGTCAATATCGATTCGAATTCTCATGAAATATTTTTTGATTTGTGCAACCCACCTCTTATTTTTGAAACTGAACAACGTTACAGTAAATATATAGGAAATTATCAAATAAGACACAGATCTGCTACCATTACGACTGGTCCGAGCTGTTGGGGTAGAAGGAGGAATAATAATTATTTGCCTGTCGGCGAAAGGAGAGCATTATTTGACGTTGAAACGCTTGGAAAAGCTACGGTTATGAAACTATCATTTACAAATGCTATCGTCGTTGAAGAGATCGTTAGCAGAATTCATGCCAGGTGCGGTGAAAAACCAATACATTATGCCTACATTGTTACTAAGCAGAAAGAAAAACCTGACATTCCTGACGTCAATTGGAATCATTTCGGATCTACATACATGATAACATCGATTTTTAAAAGAAGTTTTACAGTCCCTTCTCAAACATCCAACATACATACCTCTCTACGTGTTTTAGAAGATTTTTCTTTGCAAAATGGAGATTGTCTCGAAAAAGCTTTAACACTCGTCTTATCGACTTTAGAATCAGGGAAGATCATGAACTATTGGCACGCCATTGAGCGACAATATTACTTTTATCTTAATCACAAAGATGAAATGGATTACATGCACTATGTCGTGCCCGAGAAGTGCCGATTAATCCGTCGCATAACTGTGACACCCACGCGTCAATTGCTTTGGCCACCTGAAATTATGTTCGGTAATAGAGTTTTGAGAAAATTTGATCCAGAATACACCATTCGGGTATCATTTAGAGATGACGACAATTCTCGATTAAGTTTCAACGCTGCAAATGCTGAGAAAGGTATTTTTGAATACTCGATCCGTAGACCAATGTCTACAGGAATACGCATTGGATCACGCAACTATGAGTTCCTGGCTTGGTCTAATTCTCAGATTCGTGATCATGGCATATGGACATACGCTAGAGATGCTGAAGGTAATACAGTTCAGCATATCCGATCGTGGATGGGAGATTTCTCTCACATTCACTCTGTTCCCAAGTATATGGCAAGAATGGGGCAATGTTTTTCACAAACAGAAGATACTGTTACTGTACCATTAGATCCCCGTCATATTCGGACAGAGCCAGATATTGAAGGAGGATGTGATGTTGCTAATGGTTACAAGCCCTATTGTTTTTCTGATGGTATTGGACGTATTTCAACGAACTTAGCATTTGAGGTAAGAATACAACTATTAACGGTGTGTAAGTTTTGTTTCTTAACTAATCCAATTTTAACTATAGCGATCAGAAAAATTCAAAGCATTTTAATTATTCTTGCAATATAGAGTTTAGAGGTTGATTTGTATCAATGTATCTGACATTTTAAAAGTATCTAGTTAAAAGCAGTTTATCATGCAGTTAACGCGTTCAATAACATCAAATGCCTACCAAAATGAGAAACTAGCTTTAAGCCTCTTAAATTTGTTTTAAATGGGCAAAGGAAATTAACTTGATATTGTATTTTTAATATTTATGGCCGTAGTAGTATTTTATTATCATTTCACTAAGGCTGCCACTCTTGACACAGTTAGGAAGACATCCATAAGGATGATCCGAAAACATGCTATCAAAATTTTGATTTCCTGGTGGGAATGGCTACCCTGCTTTGTTAACCCAACGACCTGCGCACGAAGTTGAGTACTTAACAAGAACCGATACTGTGCACCCTTGGTTTCTTCGAAGGCTGATAAAAGAGGTCACCGAGACTCTCAAAGACCTATAGATGTCAGTACCATCGGTGCTTCGGAAGGTCTTTACTATGGCGTAACTACCACTACGATTATTAAACATCAATTCACTAGTATAAAAGATATGCTAACTCGATTCAGTTCCTCTCCCTCAATTGTTTTAATTCCGATGAGGAAGATAACCTTGGTTAGGTGCTCCATAAATACCGTATCAGTCAGTCACTCGATTTTATCTTAGGGTACCTTTTGACAGAAGAAGATTGACATAGTCTTAAACTTCTCTTCCCACATTGGTGACCTGCGGAAGTGATATGAACTCGCCTACATCGAAAGTAACGCCCTCTTCGATGAATGGTCCACATTGAACAGTTGACGTGTTATTTGTGATTGCTTCACCTCACTCTGTTGCTACTCAATCTCACACACAACGGGATCCTGCACACACTCTTCTGCTAATAGCAACACAGCAGAGACCACACTCACAGATCTGAAATTAATACAGCTCTCACAACAAACGCTCAAAACTCGATGAACTTAATACAGCTCTCCCGGTCTTTTGCAAATATCTCAATTAGTGTTATCTGTGCATTGAATTCTATCCCTGATAAAATTCAATGAGTGACAAATATTTGAAATTGGCGGTTAATCGCTTATCAACTAAACACCATTGTTTGTGACGTCACTGAAAGACCTTGGTGATCTCAACGGCGTTATTTCTCGGTAGCTATGGCTTGTCTTACTCGTAATAGAATGGAATGAACAGTTGCTAAAGTTAACATATACCACGTTTCACCAACCAATCAAGATTGAGGTATCCACACTACGTCACTTGCAGGTATCCCATTCTCAAGAGACATAAAATCCAACTGCTTCTGAATAAAAATTAGGGAAAGTCTTGCAAACAAGTCTCGATGAACTCTTAGTCAAGTCACATGTTAAATGGGAGTTATTATTTCTTATGACTCGTTCAAAAAATAGGTCGAGGGATTTCTCCGATTCCCATACTTCGCTAATAGAAAACTTAAAATATTAATTAATTAATTCTACCATTCATTTAGATAAAGAAATAAACATAAAAAACTTAAAAAATTTTTGTGTTATATGTAATTATTATATAAAGAGACAGAGAGAGCTTATTCCATTTCCTTCCCTATAGGTGCGCAATGCTCTGGGCCATGATAAACTCTGCAGTGCATTTCAGATACGGTATGGTGGCTATAAAGGCATGCTGGTAGTAGATCCTACCTTAAAAGATGCGGACATAGTGTTTCGAAAGAGCATGAAAAAATTCGATTCCCCTCAAAATCAAAGATTGGAAATTGCTAGAACAAGTGCTCCAAGTAATGTTAATCAGTTATTTTTCAACATTTATCTGCATCGTATTTTCTTTCGTAATATTTGCATTCTATTCTACTTTTCTACTCCATCTAATTCAAGTTAAGGGCAATAAGTTTACCGTGAGAAACTAGCTTTAGAAGTTTAGTTGCAACCAAATATTTTTTAAGACTATTGCTAAGAGTTAAGATTCATCTTTAAACATTGATGATCAGGCAAATCATCCCTAAATGAAACGGATGATTTTGTATTCCTTAGATTGGCTGCACTACGATATAACTATGATTCGATTCTTGTGGTGACTTGACGTTTTCTCCAGACGATTCTCAAATAATTATTGGAGCACCGATGGTCACAGTAAACTTTGTATGACCACCGATTATAAACACTACACAGTGTTTCGATAGTATCGGCGTAAAGTGAGCGCGTCAAAAAGTTATTATTGAAATTTGCAATTTAAATTTTACGTGTCGAAATAATATTAATTGAGAAATAACCGGGATTTAAAAAAACCTGCGGAATTTGGTAGCTCTAGCAATAAAAAGTTGAAAAAACGATGAAATCGTCACATTAAAAGTAAACAATTGATTTAAGTTTCGCGTATAATTAATTTTATAAAAAAACATTGGGATTTGTTTTTCTAAAAAAATGAGAAAATTCATAACAATAACTGTCGAAAGAACGATTCAAATACCGCATGGATTAAGGAATCGCCGTAAAACGAGCGTGTCATAGAATTATTTATTGAATCCGTGATTCGAATTTTGCGTACCGTAATAATATCGGTGTTTTTCAAAGATTCTGGAGAATGTAAATAATTAATTGAGCAATGTAAGACATCGGGATTTAGAAAGAACAAAACAAAAATTCCTAGCAATAATTGCAACAAGAAAAGAAAATAACAAAACACGGTATATGTTTACAAGTCGAAAAAGTGAGAACTCAAATTTTTACATGCCTAATTTTAAAAAAAATACAAGATCGATTTTATTTCAACCAAATTTAAAAAAAAAGGGAGACATTATTTTGCTATTAATTTGTAACAAAATTCCCATTCACAGCAAAAATTCTTCCGTAGTAGCTCCCACGGAGGAATCGCTCAACCTCCCCCGGAGCTCCCGACTTTTCCCGAATTCCTCCCGCGGAGCTCCTCAGTAATGCAAAATGTCCGCACCTTTCAATTCCTCAGTTCCTCCGGCGGGCTTCCCGAAAGTCACTCCATAGGAGGAGCCGAGGAAGAATGATGAGGAAGTTTCAAGGTCTCATACTTTCCGATGGCTTTCCCCGGGCAGTCTCCTAAGGAAGAACTGAGGAAGTTTCAAGGTCGCATACTTTCTTCGGGTACTCTCTTTAGGAAGTGCTGAGGTAGATTTGAATCTTATGGTTTTCCCTTAGGCTACTAATACATATAATTATACTTACTAATACATCTACATTATTAGATTCCCAAAAACTCCAAGTTGTTTGTGGAAATCAAACGATGCGGCTTAGAAGGGACAATAGAAGGAAAGACTTGATATCAAAATAATAAACAAGTTCCCTCACTAAAGCCCCACTGAGCCATTGTGCATCATAGATAATCGCTAAACTTGATCACTTCTCTACAGTTAAAGGTAATGCTTGCACAACCTCTGCTTAGGAAATCTTACTGTACTTACATGCATTCTGGTATTTCATCAATTATTGATGAAAAATATAAATAATTATAAAATAATCTTAACTTTACTGGCACTTTGCACAAGTTGATTCAGTTGAAAATATGTCGCTAAATACATCATTTAGTGAAAACTACACCATTAATGAAACAATAAATGTATCAGATAACATTTGATAGATTTATTACAGTGCTATTTTATATTAACTTAAGTTTAATTCAATGTAATATACAAGTCTACAATTACCACATTACGACATACGGTTATATAATTTTAAAGAAAAGTAATTATCAATGTCAATGTACCATCATTTACAATTGAAAACCTTTTAATTGTAAATGATGGTTCATTGACACCTACCTTTTATTATATTTTACCTTTTCTACACACATAAAAGAATTAAACAGTTTAGAAATTTTTTTATTGATTAATAGTTTTTATATACAAAATAATAAACTATCGTATCTTTAAAATAATACTCTTTTTATTAACAGACATTTCTTATTATATCAAAGATAAAATCGGAGAACAAGTATGTTACTAGGCCTAACTCAGTAACGTGGAAATCATTAACTACTTTAACACAGATAATTAGAATTATAAAATGTGGTAAACGTTTAAAATACATAGATACAATATTATAAACTGAAAAAAATTATTCAAAACGATTAACTTACTTTATTTACTGAATCATAAATGAAGAGCTCAAAATTACAACAGTCAACATAGCTACACTTGATTACACCTGTAAGCAACAAACTATGTATACCTCCGCGCAATTTCTTCAGCAGGGTTACTTTTCAAAAATTCTTTGGTGAGAATTAAATTCTAGTCAAGCACATCTAGCGCATGCGCAATTGCTCAGCCGGTTGCACGCACAGACATAAGTAATTATGATGCTCCTACGGAATAACCAGGGAGAAAAATCCATTGGATTGATTTCTAGCGGATGACCGGTGGAGGAATATCCGTAGGCGATGTTTCCGAAGGACTTCCTAAGTGTAGGAATGTTAGAATGGAATTTCCCTCGGCTTTCCCCTATTTATTCGCGCCTTCCCTCGGAAGAAAGGGATGCATTTGGGAGGTCCTAGGGAAAGGTTTCGGAAGATGAGTGCTATATGGGAGGGGAAGATGAGTGCTAATATTTCTGCGTAAAATATTAACAACTAGCATACCGTTTATAGGCATAACATTTGTTTCTAATATTTTTAATTTTGAAATAAGTCGGTCATTCGTTGGAACTATCTGTTCTAAACATTCTCTTCAGAATGTTCGATAATACTGAATTGAAAATTTATAATGACTTTATAATTGTTGCTGTGGATTACCAAAATCAAGAGAATGTCGAATTTCACCGGTGAATATCAACAATCACATTGTCCCTTTGGTGAATATCCAAACTATTTTTATATCCGATTTGATATTAATTTATTCGTTGAAATAATTATATATATTCGATATTTTAATATCTGCTGAGGATAGATTAGATGAAACATCAGTGTTCGGAGTAACGGTTAAATGCATACTGGGCAGTAGTACTTGACCTTAAAAAAATATTGATGTTGGGCATACAGGACAGTGGTACTTAATTAGACTTAGTATATATTTGGATCATTCCACGTCAAATCATAAAGAATTTTTTAGAAATGCACCCACCATCTCAGATTTTGATAAAAAATTGTACTGTTATAGAATTTTTGATGCTGATGTCAAAAATATCAATTATATTTGAATCTATTAAGGGATTTAAAAGTTATAAGCATTTATATTTTTAACANGTGGTACTTAATTAGACTTAGTATATATTTGGATCATTCCACGTCAAATCATAAAGGATTTTTCAGAAATGCACCCACCATCTCAGATTTTGATAAAAAAATTGTACTATTATAGAATTTTTGATGCTGATGTCAAAAATATCAATTATATTTGAATCGATTAAGGGATTTAAAAGTTATAAGCATTTATATTTTTAACAAAATGGCGCATTTACCAGCATTTTGATTCATATATCAAAGGCTATTAATGACTGTTACTCACAGATTTGTCATAGAGCAATAATTTTTTTTAATTTTGTTCAGAATAAAGTAATCTGTCTTTTAAACACTTTTTTTGCAAATAAGTATCTTACTTGTTTAGTAAATGGCTCTGTTTTGCAGTTTTTTGATCAACGGAGTTGAGTAACTTCAGATTGGTAGTTTGATGATTTATAGTCCTTAATTGTAATTGTAGTAATTGTAACTAGAGTACAATAAAATGGTATAAGAATGTGAATAATAGAAAAGTATGTAAAATAAAGAAATCATTTATTAAATTATCTTTTACTTTTTTCTTTAAGCCCTCCCTCCCTCAAAAAATAAAAGAAGAAACGAAAAAATTTGAGGATGAACAAAATTTCACCTTTTTTGTAAATAAATTTATTCAGAATCTAAAAAATACATAAATAAAAGTTTTTCTGTAAGAGTAGTGGATAATACCAAATAATAAAGAGCAGCCATATATATTTTTTAATTGACCTAACTTTGATCTTTTTAGAAGGAGAAAATCGGAATTTATGATGTTGAATAATATTAGAGAGAAAGAATTGTACGCTTGTAGACGCAGGATGATGAAATAAAATATCATCACTATGAGCTCAATATTTTTAATTATAAAATCACATTAAACATTTAACAATAAAGAGTAAAAGAAAAATATAACATTAACTAATATAATTTAACTAGAAAGTTTTTAATCAAATGAGTAGGAAAGGGGAACCAGGGTGGTTCGCAGAGCTTGTCCTGCGTCATCACTTATATATTAAGTCAGAAAAAATAGTTGTTATTGCCTTTGGGGTAGAGGGGTAGCGCCATCTAGTGCTACAAATAAACTACCCGTTACAAACTCCCCCTCTGACTTCTTAGACGTCTCGGCAAGGAGTCAGGAACATTTTTGTGTCTATTTAGAGCAGAAGGTGGAGATTTAGTTGGAATACCGGTAGCTACTTGAACATCTTGTAGGCGTTTTGGGCGCCCTCTTTTTCTCAAGGGAGCCACAGGAGTTATCTGATGTGCAACACGAAACTTATTCTGTTCTTGAAATGGGGTTAGGGCTGACACATGGTATTTGCCAAGAATCTTATCTGGTTCATTGGGATCAGCAATATCAAACGTTGTTGGTGATCTTATAGCAACAATGACGTAAGGGCCATCTCTCTTTGGCATGAATTTACTAGTTTTCTTTAGATGCCCCTTGCTAACAGGATGGAGGCTAACCCAAACTTTGTCTCCACAGTTGAATATAGGATTTTCTCGGCGTCTCATATCAGCATATTTCTTTTGTTTATCCTGATGTTTCTCAACTCTCTCCTGAACTTGGTGTACAGTTCTGGCAAAACGCTTCAAATAAGGAGTTATTTCCGGAACGAAATTATCATTCTCAATAACTGCTTTTATGTCATGTTTAACATCATCAAGTGTTCGTAATTCTC